GCTCAACAGTGCAACGGAGTCAGTATCAGGTTGAGAAACCACTGCTGTCAGGCCCGAAAGTAGGTATGCAAGCCATGGAGCCATTGCAATCAACTCAGCTCCTCCGGGACTCGGAAATGACATTAGCAGGCCTGCTGCCAGCCTTTGCGTATGCAGCTTCTGTGCTCTGATATCTGGATGGTCTGGCTGAAGCTAAAGAGGAATCTTTGCTGTAGCTCGCGATCTTGTTGCGCATGAACATGTCCCCACGGCATTGTGCAGTTTGTTGCTCACTTCAGCTATGCATCGTAGTACTTCGACAACACGTGCATGGCAGTGTCGGTAGCAGCAGGAACCGTGCAGTTTCAGCAGTTGCTTGGGAGTGTTCTGCCGGCTCGTTACATGTTGGCTCAAGCCAAGTGGCGCACGGCATGTGTGAAGTTCCTTCAATGAAGGTTCTGACAAGGGGGAGGATGAATGAGCTTTCAAGAGAGTCACGTGATGACTCACAGTTCTTGGCCTCCCCATCCTTGTTACGCTGGCCACAGACCCCTTGACAAGCATACTGCGTGTGCTCTGCGTGACTTTCAAGTGTGTTGAGGGAGGTGCTTCGGCTCGAGCACGTCTGAAGACCACAGACACGTGGCCGAGCCGTCCCTTGCAGCATCTGTGATTATCGCATGGCATTGCCACTCATCGCTGTGTGTTCTGTCGTGTTCGTGCGGATTCCGCATGGAATAGAGAGGGTTTGAGAGGCATGAGGACAGTGCGACATCAAGCCGTGTGTTGGTCGATGCATGTCAAGCTTTTGAGGACCGTGCGGCAACAGGAGATGCTGCTAGAGTGTGCTAGAGCATGCTTGGTCGTAAACGTTCGTGTGCCCCCGGGCCACAAGCACAAGGAGCCATGAACAAGGCGTAGGTTAGGTGGTTGTGGCGACCGATTTTGGCATCTAGAGACATGCTCCGCTCCTCCGGGAGTCAGAAGTAGAACGACAGTTGTTCCAGGCAATGCCACTGATGAAAGCTGAGAGAACGGCACGGTTTTCGGAAGTTGTGCAGGGTCCGTGGTAGTTTCCTGACCACGTGCCCGCACAGGTCCCGCCGTGCGAGAGACTCTTCATTCTGCCCGCCAGGCTGGCAGACGCAGGGGTGCAGGACCGTTGGAGTTTCGGGCGTAGCATAATTAAGCTACCCTTTGGTCTTGAGCTTAGGGTACGAAGGTTTGGGGCTTGGAACAAGGCCTCGAAAACAAAGGCTTGGGACGGATTGCGAGTTTCACTGCCTTCCACC